GTAACTGCTACGAAAGCGTCTGAATTTTTAAGTGTGGCTGAAAACTATGGCTTCCAAAAAATGAGCACTAGACTCGTGATAATTCAAACTCTGATAATTTATACTTTCTGTTAACTCAAACAAAATTCTATTTTTTTTGCCTGGACCTCTATTCTTTCAGTGTATTTAAAAGCCTCTTAATTCAAACTCTATAATTTGGTTAATTCATACTGCAGGTTCATACCAAAAAATATCTGCTGATATCCCACAACTATTTAAAAATTTGATTATTTATATAATCCTAACAGTTTAAAAATGAAAAATAAGCATCCCTGGTCTTCAAGGAAAAAGGCTTCACTAGTAAACAAATGTTTGAAACAAAGCACAAGCATTAACTTCTCAACTGGTATAGGATTAGGATGTTGTAGGTAGCCGGCGGATCTAGCGTTGCATAATTTGCAGGCAATTGCCCCACCCGGTTCCCTCTTTGCTAATTGTAACTAATGTCTTTTTGTTTGTTTTTTAACTAAGCAGGAGCCAGCTCCTAAAGAAAAAATCGCGCATAGCGCGATGTAAGCCTGCAGAAGCTGGTAGCCTCTGTGCTATTCCGCATGCAGTATTGTGCCAGTACCCTATCTCGCTGCACCATACCCCAAACATAATTGTCACTTATCGCCAGTCACATGCGAGGCCTGTAGCTTTCAAAAATTTCAAAAGAAGTCTTGACACCTGTTTTCTGAAGATCGAGTGACCACGCGGAAATACAATATCAGTCACGCTGTCACATGGTGAGCCTAAACATTGCAGTTCCTCGAATAAACCTTGCTCACGACACATAAGGATATAGTGTTCTATATCACCATTTTCCTTGCACTTCGGGCACAAGGGTGTCACGGAGGGTCTGATCTTTTGGAGCCATGCTGATGTACGCGCTGATCCCGTTCGGATGCGGCCTCTTCCCTTGATAGCCCTTTTGTCACACATGGCTGGTGAGGTGTCAGCCATAACGAGTGAAAATGCTTATTGACAGCTTCTCGTAAAATACGCTGATTGTCTTTGGGAGCCTTCTTCGTTGGTGTAAGCTCTATAGCACTCCGGGCAAGTCTGTCAGCCACCTCATTACCCACTAAACCCACATGTGATGGAATCCATTGAAACTTAATGTTTAGACAATTTCTTGCAGGTCTTTAAGATTCGCAGTGATCTTTGAATGCATTGGTCCAAAACCAATTCTTGTTTTAGCCGCTGCAAAGCAGGCTTACTGTCCAAAAACAGCATGACTTGTTCCTGCCTACAAAACTTCAGTTTCTTCAGGGCTGCCTTGTGGTGGTCGTTGCCAGACTGCAGCCAGATTTGACGGAGAAATTTGCCCCCGTAGTTGTGGCTTCTCTGTGAGGGTTCGGTGTCGCCGGTTTGGTGTCACTAATGGCGGTTTTGTTTCACATGGACTGTGAACGATCTGCGAATGGAGCTGTAAGAAACATTTCTTGCCACTGTTCGTTGTGGGAGACGCTATAATTTTTCAAACATGATTATTGATATGTGGGGTTTAACGTCCCAAAACCACCATATGATTATGAGAGACGCCGTAGTGGAGGTCTCCGGAAATTTCGACCACCTGGGGTTCTTTATAGTGCACACAAATCTGAGCACACGGGCCTACAACATTTTTCAAATATGATATAACAGTCTGCGCGTTATAATATAATCAAGTTTCTATGAACGGTAACGAAGAGCACTTGTGTTTCGTCATTTAGGAACACTTTTCAATCTAAATTAACTTTAAAATGTACAGCATCGAACATTACTAAAACAAACACGTCGATGCTATTTTGACGGCTTGGCCGGCCCGGCCCTGTTTCGAAAGGTCCCGACCAAAAATCGCTCCCGCCGCTGCGATCGAAGCGAAAATTTCCAACATGTTGGAAGCTCGCCATGGACCGCTGTGGCGAGAGCGAACTGGCCTTTTTTTCGTTGCGAGCAAATTCGTGGACTGAAAATCGCTACTTTTTGTGTCATGTGAAACGGCCTTTAGGCGATGCAACACAGTTGTATTACCTGCGTAAGTAGTCACTGTCATCCAGAAGCAGTTCCCGTCAGCCGACTACTTGGGCTTCCGATATACCTCTGTGGACATGTGAAAGTTTTCATATCTTAACTTTAAATTAAAATGCAAGCTGCCCGTGCTTTCAACTACGCATCAATGATATCTGCGCGTAAATGATTTCCGCATTCATTTCCTTTTGGGTTGACCTGTTTTGCACAGGTTTGTTTTTCCAATGGACTTGTTATGCAAACTTTTGCTCCAAAATAGTTGTGCTTCGTGCATGATTTTTTAAGAAAATAATATTTAGGGCTTGCTCATTGCATTGCTTATGATGATAATTGCAGACTGTTTTATTAATCAACAGTTTAAAGTAGGTGCGCAATTACCAAGTAGAAGCATTGTACAAAGGCTGTAAATATGATTCAGCATTTCTTTTCAAGACTCGCCCAAACAAGAAATGTGGGGCATTTCCCAAATACTCCCATCTAGTCGTTCTGTCAAACTTGTGATGCCATGTCAAGTAGATCTAGCTCTTCTTGGGCTGCCTCCGATAGCACACAGACGCAAAAATAAGATGTAGCTCTCTCACTCTATTCACACAGTGGCTCTCTGTGTGCTGCTAGCCGTAGCACACATGTAAAAATAACATTGCACGGCACTTCACAAGAGCAATCATGGCAGCATCATTGCCCGACTGCCAGGAGGGTAGTTTCTTCAATCAAATGTGGCCCTCTTGCTCGATTCACCCAGTGGCTCTTCATGTGCTGTCAGCCATTTAGTGCACACATTAAAATAACATTTGACGGCACTTTCCACAAATCAGTCATAGTTGCATGGTTGCCCAACTGCCAAGAAGGTTCGTTGCATCGCAATAGGTGAGGCGTAAACTTGCAAAGGCTCATGGGATGCACGAGGTTTGCACCAACTTCCGGTTCAACGACTTTTCGTCTGCTGCATCACTCCTTGGGTATCAGCATGTTGGTATTGGTGTCGCTAACTTTCTTCGTGGCAACCATACACGTATGCTGTGAATTTCTGGCACACGTTAGAACTGCTGCACCTATGGCTGACCACGCAAGGGATGCATGTGCTGTCATTGCGAAATAATCTCTTCATTTGAAGTGACAAACAACAGACTGTACGTGCTATTGCAATTCTGTGTGTGTGTGTTTTTTCGGAATAGGGGGCGCGGCTTGGCTGTCACGCCTTCCAACTAATTTTGCGCGGATCGCCCACTAACATGATTTTTTTTACGTGTTTTCTTCTGTGGGGGAACTCAGCTGTTCTTGTATTCGTAGTTGACCGCTCTGTCGCCGTCTCAGTAAGGGTAAACAGTAGCTTTTATCAATGTTCATCGTGTGCAAGGGGCATCCTGTTACTAAAGCACGTGTTCAGCGGCGACGATCTGGCAAAATGCTCAATCATTCGTTCGTGAATGACCTATAGACTAGAATGCAGTCCTAAAAAACTTTGCAAGCAATATCTGTCGACGGTAACTATTTTAGCGAAGTTGGGCTCGTTCAAGACGACGCTGACCTCATAATCAGGCGCCGTGTTTGTTATGCGTGGTTACCTGCTATGCTCGCACGTGCACTAGGTCAGGTGTGAATAAATTGAGTATACTTCGAAAGAAATGCTTGGAGGAACACTTGAAATTCCCAGCAACACATACCAGGTTCTATAGGTAGAATATGGGGCGCTTTTTCTTATCTACATAGCGTTACTGGCACATCATTTGCTCCCACCGCTGCGAGGTCGTCGCCATCAGAAGCACTGGCTGGTTGTGCATACATTGATGAAATTGATGTCACTGACAAATGCTGTGTCCATAGATTACACGGCGGCACCGCTGGCCTGATGTCATGCGGTTGCTGGCAGTCATGTCACGCTACATGTTCGGTATCAGAGTCAGAGCTGGCTGCACGTTGCATGGTGGCCATGCGTTTCAGCGTAAATGCCGTATGCTTGTCGTAGCTCCATAGATCTATAGTGATTGTGGTTTTGCTGATGAAAAACTCCACATCCAAATGCCTTTCGCGATTGCATCTTGACGCCTCAGTTTCTCGTCCGTTGTGCCAAAGTATTGACGACGCGTAGTCAACCTTCCGTGTATCTTTGCTGGGAGCACCTGTACGTAAATACTAAACTAGTCAGACAAACAAAACCATCCATTCAAGATTCTAAAAAAATATCGCCCACCTGTCACTAGGCATCCAAAGGCTATACCACTCACCGCGGCTCTCCTTTTTGCCACAAAACTCACTTCAATTTTATATCGTAGTTGCAAGGAATTATCAACATCTCTTTCCATTTGATGCTTGAACTCGAGAAACCGATGGCTATACAACCGACCATGATTGTGCGAGTGATTGGATTGCAACAGAATCGAAAGAAAAGACGCGTCTAAAGGTTCAAAAATGCGGCCAGCAAAACAGCGCACCACAGATATCTTGAACCGGAAGTTGATGCAGATGGCGAATCCCATAAGACTTAGCGAGTTTAAGCCTCACCCATTGTGTCAGAAGACTTCAACTGCGTCATCGCTATGGTTGCATTCTCTCTGCTTAACCGCCCTTTTGATGTTGCCCCATTCACCAGTGTGAGAAGCCTTCAGCTGTGTCGTCTCTACGGTTGCATTGTCTCTGTTTCACTGAGCTTTCAACGTTGCTTCAATCCAGTGTAGCTCTCTCGCTCGATTCACACAGTGGCTGTCTATGTGCTGCCAGCCAGAGCAAACGCACGTGAAAATAGATTTGATGCCAGTTTGATGGTAAGCTTTTGATACTGTGCTAAGTATCGGTGACTACCCATCACAGTGGTCTACTTGTTGTGGTACTTAACTTAACCCGAAGGACGCTGTATCAAATCTCGGTCATGGCAGCTGCATTTTCAGTGGAGGCGAAAATGGTTTAGGCCCTGTATTTAGGTATAGGTGCATGTTGAAGAACTGCATGTGACCGAAATTCTTGGCACCTTTCACTATAGCATACCTCATTATTATTACATCACGGTTTTGGGGCATAAAACCCAAAACAACATCATCAGAATAAATGCATGTCACTGATTTGAGGTCGATGGTGTTGGAAAGCGTGTGTGCCTCTGAAATATATGCTCCTCCTCAGATAGCTTGTCATAGGTGAGGGATATATGCCACGGCTTTGCTGCCTCATTGCTTGTAAAGCTCTTCTTATATGATGAGAGTTTGTGGAGGTCCATGGTATGTTCCAACAGCTCTTAAACATATCCTGCATGGTGAAGAGAGACTAAGTCAGTATCATGCCAGGGCACATAATGACAAGATAAAAGGAGTTACCGTATTTATTTGATGGTAGGTCAACCTACCTTATGGATCTTATAAATTCACATTTTGGGAGGGGGGTGGAATTGTGTGGCAATAAAAAAAATTTATCTAGTGCAGCTAGTGACGGTCACTAACATGAAAAATAGGCATGCTGTAGCATGGTTAAAACATTATATTTCCCTTCAGGTTCTGCTTTTAGCATATATTTATTGCACGCTTGTTCAGGAGAATTTTTTTTCTTTCAACTATTACTTTGCCATTGCTTGTCATCTGAAGTGCCAGAGTTTGTTACAAGCGCATCTGTTCATTTAACAGTCAACACTCTTTACCAGATGCGCACCCCTTTTTTGAACTGTCATTACTAGCTGCATTGTCTGAAAGCTCCCCCACAGCGATGACATTACAGAAAGTAGGGGTCACCTTCAAGCCTCCTTATACAAAATTATTGAAATCTAGCTGATACAGAAGCCAAGGAAGGTATAGAAGGTGTTAATTGTGCTCTTTTTTTGGTACTATAGTAGCAATTGGGATATAATTATGAAAAAACATAGACGAAAAGACAACTTTGTACCTTATGTAACCAAACCTACAACCCTCAGATTACATGCCTGATCATTTAAGTTATTTTAAGCCACACTGCCAGGTATCAGATTTTCATGTACAGTACAGGGACTTGCTTTTAATGTGATAGCATAACAGAACTCAGTTGACAGAAGTTTTGGTGTCAGCTTAGTGAACTGTACAATAGAAACGTTTCTCTGAGAGCAATGTCTCTACTTAAAGTATTTGGGGATGTGCTTGTTTATATTGTCAAAACATGTTTGAGCAGCCAAAGCGGTGATGGGGGCTAGTTGGTCTGAGTCATTTGTGTTCATATTCGTAGAAAAAAAAAGCAAATGCAGACATAAGGAACACATACGTAGGACCAGTGCTTGTACTGTGTATGAGTTTCTTAATTGTGTCTGTGCCTGTTTTTTTTTTTTCTTTTTTCTTTTGCTACAAATATGAATGAAATACAAATGTTTGAGCAAATGTTTGGTACAAGTTTCTCAAAAGTTACACTAGTCCAAGAATTTCTTATAAGCTAGTATGTTATTGCTGGTTGTCTTCAATATTGTAATTAGATCATACATACAAGAGGAAACTTGCCGACTTGTAAGTTGCAAGTGTGTATACTATGATTACAAGTTAATAAGCCTGTTTTTAAGATGTTACTCTTGTGTAAATATCAGCCTTCTTAGGTAATTTATCAGAATGGGTCGAATTACTGTACGTGCACCACACAAACTTTATAAACATTTTACACGCTTATTACCTTTACGAACGTGCCAAACTTTATACCAGTGTGAAATTTTTGGCTTGTGCTTGCGGCTGTATAGCTTGACACCAGGATGTCTACCTTGGAAAAATTATGCTTCGTAAGCTCTTGGGCCTGCTGTCATGGGCACACACAGTGCTTTCTACGATGAAACTCCGATCTCCCCCTTGCATCTAACATTTTTACTTAAAACAGTAAATTCTTAACAATTTCACATAAAAATATATTTTTATTAACTTGATGTTTCTTAGATTCACTTGCAAATTTTGCACAAACATATTTTACCTGTTGTCAACGAGCATATTTGGATGCCTAGATTCTCCACTGCAGTCAGGCACTTAGGAGTTCTCCTTGCTTTTTCATGAAGACACTGTAGGGGACTTTGGGTGATTGTGAACAAAAGTGTAGCAAGAGGTCTTTTGTTAGCACTTGAACAGTATACTAGTAGGACTGCAAGTTTACCTCTCCGACTTGCACCAGCTTAGTGGGTAAAATGCAGCCATTCTGCATGCCAAGCACACTGTACGTGAGATACTCGGCGCTGTAGGCAGGAGAGTCACATCGGCCATCACCTGCTAGGTCAATTAGCAAGTCACCAAGTGCATCCACCATGGCTGCTTGTTTTTTGAGGAAGAGCTGGAAAGACAGATGGCACAATGCATAGGTTCTTTTAGTATTCCACACGATAATCAGGGGGCGGAAACTCCCTGTACCTCCCATGTATTCGCTCTCGGCAGCGGAAGCGCTGCTTTTACCACTGGTAGTTGCCCGGCATTCTACTAGAAATAAATCACGAACAGAAAATTTTTTTCATGACATGACTCGTGAGGTCACGAAATAGAGGGAAAGGACAAAAATTGACACGAGGAGGCTTGCCGCGGAAGCCTTCCTTTCCCACTTTGCATACAAGTAGAATGCGCTCATGCCTTCTTGCAGGTCCGCTGGCCGCTTATGCAATGTGGCCATAAAATTTTGGTAATCTTTTTTAAAATTTTGTTCATGTTTCTGAAGAGGCAAAAGTTAAGCTGACTGATTTCACAGTAAGACGTAACTCAATCGACACGAATGAAATGCTTTTTTATTCTACGTTTTGCATAAAAAAAACAGGTACATACACATAGTGTGAAAGTGTCAATCTATAGATGCAGCTTCAATTTACAACTGACATGTGGACATAATGAGCAAACGTCGAACCCAATATTTGAACCAATGTTAAAATCATTAATCCCGGATAGGACACGTATTTGACTCAATCATGTTTGTTATGACAACAGGCATAAAACATGAGTGCCAAACGAGACTGAAGTTCAGAGGCACAAAGAGGCTCCAAGCGATCAAAAGTTCTTGGAGAAAGAATGTCGCTGGAAACAGTGTTTCGGCAAGTTGACTTGTCCTCGTGAGGGCAACAGCGTTGCCTTGATGAAGAAAAGTGCACTTGTCAAGACGTTGCCTCCGTCGACTTCCTCTGTGATAATATTTAAAATCATTTAGACCATCACGTGTATTCGTGTGACACTATTAGAAGTAAGGACTCGCAAAATTTGAAACTGCAGCTACAAAAATTTCATGAGCAGGAAGTGGTCTATAATTATTTGACACCATTTGAACTAGTCGTGAAAACTAAAAGAAGCTAAAACTATGTAGCCAAGCCAACTTCAATTCAAGCCTTTCAATAAACGCATTTTCTTGACGGGAGCTTGGCTGCTGTCTTCACCACTTAGTCAAGTGACACTGCACTTCTCTCAGTCCAGTCAAGCTTGCGGAGAACTGGGTTTACTCATATGTACTCATGAAAAATCTATATCTGCTCCAATAATTGGTCCAAGTTCTTGTGCTCACCCCATGCTTTTAGGAAATGCTGAGAAATCTTCCCGGCACTAGAAATCCTCGGGTTAGCACACCGCAAAGCCGCGGAAAACATGTGTTGCCCGAATAAGCCATCTTCTTCGATTGCATGGATTACTTGTTCGGCGTAGTTCACTGCAGTCCATTCTCTGCTCGCCACAACTTGCTGTCTTTATCTTTCTCGTAGTTGACACGGCAACCGACCGAGATAACTGAGCAAGATCCGGCTTCTAATATCGCTGAGCGAGAGGCAAGAAGGAGCGGAGGCAAGCATTACGAACACAAGTCAGTCACTTTCCATGCTTCACCTAATTTAAAATTCATGAAATAAAAAAAAAAACAAAAGAGAGGTTCTTTATGGGGCATCAAATTTTTTTATTTGTAAAAACTTGTGAAAGCCAATAAATGCGAACATTCACATCACCCTCACTTCATTCAGCCAGATCTTAGGGTGCCCAGCAACCGCTACAAGCGTGCATGTTCTTTGAAACTGAAACTAGCGCCGATATCCGGGGCTTGGTATATTAGCAATGATGTTTCATGCCAACATGCCCACGAGTATTCTACCACCGCTATATTTTTACCACTGTACAAATTCATCAACTCAAACTCAGTTCAATCATGAGTATTCGTATTACACAGTAAGATAAATAAGGCAGTATACTAAAATTATTTGTAAAACTATGATTTTTCCAGATGACTGGTTTCTAAATTTAAACATTAGTTTGCGAAAATATGTAGCTTCTCTTTTGCATTGCAACCATAAAATCAGATGGGCTAGTTTTGTGCAAGTTTTATACAAAATGATTGCATGTTCTGAATTTAGATAACATTGACAAAGATATACAGAAGGAAGCAAGTGCTTTGCTTCACAGTGTGTAAATCTATGGCAAAATTATGTTAAAAAAATAAGAAACACTTGTAATGCAAGAGCAGTATAAGCATTTGTGTTCACGCTGCCTCATATGTCTACAAGTCTTGCTATATAGTTATATTTAGATGTTGATCATTATATAAGGGGACCTGTTTTACTGCAGGGAGCAAGTAGGCCCTCTGGTGCACCTCGTGAAGGCGCAACCCGTGATGATCTGAGGACCCATCGGATGATTGCAGCCACCACGCAGCAGGAGTAGAGCATGCCAGTGGCAAGGAGGAAGTTGCCAGCTCCAGTTCCACTACCTCGAACAAGTGGCTGGCTTCTCTACCGGAGCTTGTGCAGTCGCTCGCACACCTCCTCGACAACAACGAGAGTTCCCATGACGCTGAAGTTCAGGTTGCCAATTGCTTGGCCACATATGGAGCAGCTAGTGAGCAGTTCACGAAGGGAGCTCTCAAACACAATGAACTCTCGTTCCCTGGGTAGAGGCTGCAGTGCTATTGTCTTGATGAATATTGCAGATGAATGACCCGACAAAACATGGTAGTGCTTGTGTGTTACTCAGTATTACACAATGGATAAGTTCCATGACTTGGTTGAAAGAAAGAAGTGAAAATTTTAAGGCTTCATTTTTCTTTGCTAGACATAATATTAATGAGAACTGACCTACCATAATGCCATAAAAAGTATAGGGGACACTAATTATAGTAAATGTAATATAAATGAGAAGAAATTAAGGTGGACAAAAAAACTGCTTGCCATGAGCTGCGACTGAACGTGTGACCGTCACATAGCACGTCCGATGCTCTACCCGATAAGCTAACACGGCGGCCATTCCCTCATCCTCTTTATGCAGTTATATGTGCATTTACTAGTGGCAGCATGAGTTAGCGCTACTAGCAGCCATGACTGCGAGTGTGAAACACTCTTTTTCTGCCTGTTGGTGTCGCGTGGCACGTGGTGGTGCTGATTGACGCACCTGCGTTTAAGTGCACATATATCCCCCATAAATTGGATGAAGGAATGGCTGCCGTGATAGCTCAATCAGTAGAGCATCGGATGTGTTACTCGAAGTTCACTAGTTCAGTTCCAGCTCACGAAAATCAATCTTTTCATCCACCTTTATTTGTTCACATTTACATTACATTTACAACTAATAACGTCCCCTATACTTTCTTTGGCACTATTGTTCGTTAGTTCTCATTAATACAGCTTGGTTGGGGTTAGTAGTAACTGACAGACAATTATGCCAAAGAAAGTATAGGGGATGTTATAAGTGGACGAAAAGATAACTTGCCGTGAGCAGGGACCGAACCTGTGACCTTCGAATAACACGTCCTACACTCTACCAACTGCGCTACCATGCCGGCCATCCCCCTGTCCACTTTATGGGATACGTATGTGCGTTTAAATGTGGGAGTGTCAGTCAGCGCTGCCTGTTGCCATTGCAGTGATTGTGGGACAGTGTGTCCGATGGGGGTGAGGTTGCTGGATACTGTGCGTTGTAAACCGATATACCTCTGTCAGCCTTCATGCTGAAAAACGAAGTTCATATGTGTGTTGACCATGTCCTCACTATTTGGCTCTTGTAGATACTGGGGCAACAATCTCAGTGATGAGCCTTAGTTTTAAAACTCTGCTGGGACAAAAAGTTGTTTTCCTGGAACAAAAATGTCGTCGTTTTGTAGTGTAAGTGGTGACACATTGTGCCGGGCCCGGCGTTTTTACAGCACATGTTTGTTTGTCCGACAAAATATTTATCACTGAATTCGCCGTGATCCCTCTATCTATGCATGAAGTTATTTCAGGCCTAGATTTCTCACGGGAGTGTGGCGCTACAGTTGGCTGTCAAAGTGGGGAGCTTTCCGTACACTACGAGGTTATTACCGGATCCGGGGAGAACTGTTCCTCCATTCTTCAGAGCATGTTCAATATTCTCCATGTTATATCCTTTTTATATCAGATACATTACACTTATTGATCAGCTTTGAAAGCTGTGCTAAGAATACCACTCGCAAATAAATGTTCTCGCTCCTCCAACAATTCTCATGTTTTATTTAAAATCTCCATAGGCACACAGTGGGATTGCGTGCTTGCCACTCTGGTGGTGCAGCTTGCACGGAGCTAATCGATGCATGCAAACCATGCCTTAAAAAAAAGAAAAGTATGGCCTCAGAG